GGTAGGTTGTTCCAGTCAACTCTGGAGACCATCCCTCCACCACCAATAACTATAGCCTGGGACTTGAACGGATTAATTTTTAGACCATAACGCTGACTCCACTGGTTTATCGCCGCTAAGTCATTGTTGATGGTGGCAACAGCAGAAGGCAGATTTAACAGAGTTGACTGATCGTAGATTTGGAGATCGTCTGCATACATGTGATAGAGAGAAGTAATATTTTGAGAGATAGAATTAATGAATATAGCAAAAAGTAAAGGAGACAGCACACCACCTTGAGGCACGCCAGCCCGCAATTCGCACCAAGATGAGAACTCATCTTCGATGCGAATACGCTGCCGTCGGCCGTAAAGATAACTATGAAACCAGCCAATCACCGGTGGAGACATGTTAATAGAACGTAACACACTCAATAAGATGTCAAAATCAACAGTGTTAAAAGCATTGCTAAAATCAAGCAATACCAATACAGTGAGCTGTTTGTTATCCATGCCTCGTCGAATGTCATCGGTAACTTTAACCAATGCTGTTGTCGTACTATGACCCGATCGGAAACCAGATTGGAGAGGATCCAGGATACAATTTCTATTTAGGTAGAGATTTAACTGAAAGAAAATTAGTTTCTCCAGGAGTTTGGATAAAAACGGAAGAATTGAGATAGGACGAAAGTCGGAAAAATGCAAAGCATGGGCTTTTTTTGGGAGAGGCGTTACAAGTGCACTTTTCCAAACATCAGGAAATTTTGAAGAGGAGATGGATTTATTCAAGATATGGGTGAGGATAGGAGTAACAAATTCTAGGATAGGTAAGATCATGTTACGACTAACATTGTCATCACCCACGGCATTGGACGAGATGGACAAAATGTTCTATTTAACATCACTATCAGTGAAAGGAGAGAAATTAAACGGTGGAAAATCAGGAGTTGGTATTGAAGAAAGAATACTCAGAGTCCGGTCTTTATCTGAGCTATCTAATGTGCTAGAACAGGTGAAATATTTGTTAAGGAATTCAACATCAACATTATGATGAGGAGAATTATTGGATGTTTTACCAACTCCAAGAGACTGAAGAAACTTCCAAACTTTGGCTGCGTCGCCGTTTTCGACGGATTTATGAATATGGCGTCTTTGTGCATCATTCCGTACTTTATTATAATATCGTAAGTTTTTCTCAGACTTATCAGCTTTTAAGTTACTTTTAGCAAATCCTTTTTTTATAATAAGTTTTTTAGACTATCAGTTAACCAAGGTGCTGGTAAATGTTTCATTTTTATTGTTTTTACTGGGTCATGGATGTCATAATGTTGGATAAGAAAGGAGTTAAATAACTCGACTTTCAAGTCGACTGTTGAAGCATTTTCAACAGCTGACCAGTCCATGCGACTAGCATCTTCCAGAAGACGTTCTTTGTCCATTTCACCAAAATTACGTCGCAGAAGGATTCTCGATTTTGCTTTAGGAGGACGGACTTTGTATGTAAGAAACAAGAGATCATGATGAGAGAAGAGATCAGCGTCATGCTGGCCATGCTTCAGGACAAAATCTGGAGAGGATACAATGATTAAGTCAAGTAATGATGGAGTACAGTCAGGCATTTTATGCGTAGCAGATAGTGGTAATATATGTAGATTACATGCCTCGGTTAATGATTTTAGCTTTTCACACCGATAGTCACCCTTGAGTAGGCATGTGTTAAAGTCACCCATGATTATAGTGTGAGTATATAATGGGATTAAATTTTCTAATAAATATTCGAAAGAAGAGAAATAGTCAATATGAAGAGAAGGACTGTAACAAACGCCAAGAAGAATTTTCGTATTGGATAGGGTTACTTCAATGAAGAGATGCTCAGCCGTATTAGAAGGAGATGGTTGGGGGGACAAGCTTACTACCGAAAAAGGTAGATAAGAACGGAGATAGATTGCCACACCTCCACCCCCCCTTCCAATACGGTCGTTGCGAATAAGATGGAATCCTGGTAATGAATAAGAAGTGGATGGCAAGCATGGTTTCAACCAAGATTCAGAGACTAGAATGGCGTGAATGTTATGGGATTCAAAGGACGCAAGCATTTCGGGATGATGAGCCGGAATACTTTGGGCGTTTATATGAATTACATTAAAGTTTTTCAGGGAATATGAGAAATATGAATTAAGTGCTACATTTATCGGAATTGAAGATGTTGTACTGTGGAAGCTGAGTTCAATAGATGCATTATCATTTGACGACAAAGACAGGAAATCGTCAGAATCATTACCTACATCATAATTATCTAACAACATAAAAAAATGAAATAAAATATATAATATATATGATATATAAATATAAAACTAAATAGTTAAATCTTTTATTTTTTTTTTTGTGGTTTTTTCTTTTTTTTCTTTGTGTCTCTATTAAATATTTAAGTAAGTACCTAAACAGATCTCTATCCCGCCAGCAGTCTGAAAGAGATGAATCAAAAATAATAATAATAATAATAGATGCTTCAGAATAACTGAAATAAAAAGAGACAATTTTTAAACAAAACAAAACTACCAAAAACTGTAAACAAATAGCATTTTACAAATAAAAATAAGTAATGAGCACAAAGAGAATTGTTATAGAAATGTTGCTTTGTGATAAGAAAAGAAGTCAAAAATTCCATAAGGTACGGCTGTATGACTATGAGACCTTTGCCTACGCCGAAGAAAGAAATAAAAATGTGCAACTGTTCAATCCAATCCAATGTCATGTCAATTCACTTATTGTTTGTTTACATTGAAATAGTTTTTTATATATAAGTTACAAGTAACTACCTCACATCGTCTATATAAAAGAAAAATGGTAATATATATTAATAAAAATAAATTAAAAAATTTTTTACAATAAAAGAATGTAAACAAACCAGAAATACGGTAGTCGCACAAGATACAACAGATTTAACCAACTCCAAAAAAGGATTCATTTTTTACCAATTCTCTTGGTTCTTACTTGAGCAGACCTGGAGTCTTTCACCACACTTGGAACCGAGGTTGCAGCAGATGTGGCTTGAGTCACCGATTCAGAGGTCGAGATAGCATCAAGATCAAGCCTAGAATGGATACGATGGCGTACTTGATCAGGTCCTAGTACGAAGATGATGCCATCCCTCGTCCAGCACCTTGAAACTCCGAAACGTTGACGCGCCGCTTGGAATGTAGTATGGCGATCCTTTGTAAGAAATTCGGACAATGTAATCCCAATGCCTTTAAAATTTTTCTTTGCAAGCCATATCTTCTCTTTTGTCCCATAGTCTCTAAATTCTACAAGCACAGCCCGGGGTTTATCAGTGCCAGGTTGACCAAGACGATGTGACCGGCCTATCGAATCAGTAGTAACACCAGGAACTTTCAAGTGGTCGGATAGAACCTTGACAACACTAGAGGATATGTTCTCTTTCTTGTCTTCGGCTATACCATGAACAAGCAGGATTTTTCTTCGAGATCTCATCTCCATGTTATCATTTTGTTGAGCTAATAGTTCAACTTGCAATTGCAAATTTTCTAAAGCAGTTAAAACAAAGCACCGGAATGAATGAAATTGGTGATTAATATTTGAAGTGGGGCTTGTTGCTGGAATTGAACTCTTGAGATCTTTTTGGAACTCGGCCATCCTTAAGTTGAAATGTTCAGTGAGGTCCGCAACAGATTTCTTAATTGACTCCATTTGTTTTTAAGGTTATAACAATGTGGTAGAGAAGTGAATGTGCTAAAGAGTTCAAGTTATTCTAAATATATTTCAGACTTGACTGGCAGGAGTTTATATATCACAGGAACATTAAATTTATATTAAAAAGTCCCTAGATATAATATTATACAAATTAAAGATTTCAGTGTATTAAAATATGTCTAACTTAATTAACTCCTACCCGCGTAAAAAAAGTCCAGTCTTACTACAAAATAAATAACTGGTGTCCAGTCGCTTGCTATTGACTAAAGGAGTAACAGAGAATTTAGCGTAATTTGTGCACAATGTGTCCAGTCCGCCCAGCTCGTCCAGTATCCTTGGCAGTCTTAGACAGTATACAGTCTTACTACAAAATAAATAACTAGTGTCCAGTCGCTTGCTGTTGACTAAAGGAGTAACAGAGAATTTAGCGTAATTTGTGCACAATGTGTCCAGTCCGCACAGCTCGTCCAGTAGTATCCATGGCAGTCTTAGACAGTATACAGTCTTACTACAAAATAAATAACTAGTGTCCAGTCGGTTGCTGTTGACTAAAGGAGTAACAGAGAATTTAGCGTAATTTGTGCACAATGTGTCCAGTCCGCACAGCTCGTCCAGTAGTATCCATGGCAGTCTTAGACAGTATACAGTCTTACTACAAAATAAATAACTAGTGTCCAGTCGGTTGCTGTTGACTAAAGGAGTAACAGAGAATTTAGCGTAATTTGTGCACAATGTGTCCAGTCCGCACAGCTCGTCCAGTAGTATCCATGGCAGTCTTAGACAGTATACAGTCTTACTACAAAATAAATAACTAGTGTCCAGTCGGTTGCTGTTGACTAAAGGAGTAACAGAGAATTTAGCGTAATTTGTGCACAATGTGTCCATTCCGCAGAGCTCGTCCAGTAGTATCCATGGCAGTCTTAGACAGTATACAGTCTTACTACAAAATAAATAACTAGTGTCCAGTCGGTTGCTGTTGACTAAAGGAGTAACAGAGAATTTAGCGTAATTTGTGCACAATGTGTCCATTCCGCACAGCTCGTCCGCCACCACCACCGTTAAATACTCTTTTGTAGTAACCAATTTGCTAAACACGTGTTGAACAGATGTCTAACTTTTTTGTAGTAAGACAGATAAAGTCCGCAGAGCCCCTCTTCTATACACTGTAGTCTTTTGTGAATTAAGTCCAGAGAACCCGTCTTTTAATATACACAGAAGTCTTTGGTGCATTAAGTCCTAGAGTATGTCTAGTTTAGTAGTGTACATAGAAGTCTTTGGTGTAGAGTAGAGTAGTACAGCGAGTGTGTGTACCGTAAGGTGCCTGCGGCGGATCTCGTCGCTGTCCATGTCGAGCAGCTCGTCGATGTCCACCTCCACCTCCTGAGAGTTGCCCGCGCCCCCCGCGCCCCCACCACCGCTGCTTTCCTGCAACGCACAGAGTCACGGCATTATGATGAGATACCATCTTAATCCTAATTAAAAATCTTAATATATAACTATAACCTTAGAAACAAAGTCAAAATGAAGTGTATAACAGGGATGTATCTTCGGAATCAGAAACAATGAATAGTAATTTAGTCGATGAGTCGGAAAATGAAATTCGGTTGAGAAATGAGAGAAAAGAGAAATGCAGATCTAGTTTAAATTTGAAGCAATTGCTTGCAAAATTATATGCATTAATTTCTAACTCACAAGAAGATTTAAAGAGTAGAATAATTCAAGGAGTGTCACTATGCATTGAATGGTTGGTATCGATGGTAGGGGAATACATCTGGGACCTTCCTTTTAAAAATATACTCGGTAAGTTATGGGTATAAGCTCCCAAATAAACCTTCTCCAGTGGAATTCACAAAGTGTTAAGCCTAAATATGTAGAATTTGAGCAGTTATTAAATAGTGAAAAAATTCATATAGCTGCTATATGCGAAACATGGTTAAATAGTGAGGTTACTTTTAGAATAAGTGGTTATAATGTTTTCCGTCACGATCGAGAAGACTCGTATGGAGGTGTCGCTATTATAGCCCACAAATCCGTTAAGGCGCAACTAATCCCTGTTCATTTTTCAAATCCTAGTATTGAAGTAATTTGTGTAAAAGTTTTCAACTGTAAATATATTGATTACATATTTTCTATCTACTGCCCACCAACTATACGAACTTCTCAAAGTGACTGGGATGAAATATTTTCGTTTAAGACGAGTAAAACACTTGTACTTGGTGACTTTAACGGCCACCATTCCAGTTGGTCTTGTAAGACTTATTTGAGAGGTAGCAATATTTTTGATTCTTTGTTAGAAAATAATTTTGTTTCATTGAATGATAGTCGAGCTACGCGTGTTAAATTTGTCAACGGGAAATTGCAGGAATCTTCTCCTGATATTTCTATTGCATCTTCGGACATAGCCTTGCACTTGAACTGGAAGGTAACTAATGAGACATTAGGTAGTGACCACTTAATTATTAAGATTTATATTTCTTATAGTAACAATAACTCGCCATTTATTCAGAGGAGAAACTTTAAAAATGCTAACTGGGATGGTTATCGTAAGTATATTAAAGATAATCTCTCAAATTATAACCTGCTTGTTGATGACCCGCAAACAAGTTACGATTCGTTCCTTAGCATAATTAACGAAGCCGCTGATGTTCACATTCCTTTGTATAGATTTAGCCAAGACCCCTCTCAACATTTTACTCCCAAACACTATTGGAATCCTAAGCTATCAAAAGCTGTTGCAGAAAGACGGCTAGCACTTACGTTGTTTCGAAAGAATCCCACCCCTGGTAATTTGAACAAATTGAAAGATAAAATCAGAATTTCACAATTATTACTACGACAGGCTAAAAACAAATCATTCTCTAATTTTTGTTCTTCAATTGATGAGGCTACTTCTGTAACAGAAATGTGGCGCAAGATGAAGTGGTTAAAGGGTTATAGATCATCTAATACTTTTATTGACGAAGTAACGGCTAATAAGCTTTTACATAATTTAACACCAGATTTTGTCTGTCCAAAGTACCCCATTTTTTCATCTTGTAATATAAAACTTGAGGCTCCATTTTCATTATGTGAACTAAAAAGATGCGTTAAAGCAAAAGATACTTCACCCGGAGTCGACAATATTTCGTACTCAATGATTAAATATTTACCGGATAACGCTACAAATATTTTACTTAATCTTTACAATTTATTTTACACTCTCAGTTTTGTCCCCTCGCAATGGCGTGAAATTCTTGTTATACCTATATCTAAACCAGGTCGGGATCCATCTTCAATAGCAGCTTTAAGACCAATCTCTCTCATGTCTTGTTTATGTAAAATATTACACTCTATGTTGAAGAATAGATTAGAGTGGTTAGTCGAGAAAAGAAACCTCTTTCACGAAGAGACCACCGGGTTTAGAAAAACCAAGTCTTGTATTGATAACCTTAGCAATTTAATTTCTAGAATTCAGCTGGGATTTTCGAAAGATCAATTAACGGTAGGATGCTTCATTGACATTGAAAACGCTTATAACAACGTGGATATTAGAGCCTTACTTTTAAATTTAGATCGCCTAGGCGCTGGTGCAAAAATCTGTAAATACTTATGGACATTTTTAAAGGAAAGACAACTAAGCATAAAAGTTGATAAAAAAATAATCTGTAGATCTACAGGTCGTGGCCTGGCCCAGGGAGACTCTCTCTCACCTATATTATTTAATATTGCTACTCTCCATATATGTAAACAAGTTTCTAATGTTATGATTTCTCAATATGCTGATGATTACGCTTTATATTTGACTAGTAAAAATGTCAACGACGCATCCGAAGAACTGCAAATAGCATTGAATAAAATAAGCAACATGCTTATTGATCTGGGTTTGGACATTTAAACAACCAAAACAAAGGTATGTGTCTTCAAGAAAGGCATCAATAGACAACAGATATCGCTAAATATTAATAATAATGTAATAGAGGTAGTCAGTGCTGTAAAGTATTTGGGGATGTGGTTGGACCGCTCTTTAAAATGGAATAAACACATTACTGAGTTAGTTGATAAAACTTCCAGATACTTAAATATTTTTAAAGTTCTTGCTGGGACAGGGTGGGGAATACACCCTAAACATTCGAAAAGGTTATATATTGCTATTATAAGGAGTAGATTTGATTACGGAAGTTTTTTATACGACAACAGCTGCCAAAATTATGTAAATAAGCTAGATATAGTGCAAAATCAAGCGCTGAGAGTAATGGGAGGTTTTATTAAAACAACTCCTATACATGCAATGGAGAGCGAACTTGGTCTCCCTCCATTGCACGTACGGAGAACGTATTTAGGAGGTAAATTTATATTAAAAGCTAGGTCACGAGAAAACAATATTACAATTAAAATATTACGAGAATTATCGACATATAAAGACAACAGATATTGGCGGAATAAAAAGAAGCCACTATTGTTAACTATGTTTGATTGTCTTTCTAATGTTTATATTCATGCCAGCCGACAACTAGAAATGTTTTCTATGAATACCTGGGTTACCAACATAGATTTGGATGATGTAATTCACTGTAATATCCCGAATCTTGTTAAAAAAAAGCGAAGCTACAGTAATTTTAATTTAAAGTTATTATGCTTGGATTTTATCAACCAGCGATATAAAAACTATTATAAACTCTATACTGATGGATCTAAGGATGGGAGTGGAATTGGTTCAGCATTTTATGACCCACAATGCAACATTAGTCTACAATTAAAAATAGACAGTGACATAATATGCATTATGGAGGCGGAACTAATAGCAATCTGTGAGGCTTTGTCTTACGCAATATCGCTACCACAAGACCATATAGTGATATTCACAGACTCTAAAAGCGCACTCCAACACTTGGCTCGGTGCACCTCGGGCCTACGAGGCACTCCGATAGCCTACTCAGTCCTGGACTGTATTTTAAATCTGACCTCCAATTCTAACTCTATAAAGTTACAGTGGATTCCGTCACACTGTGGCGTTGAATATAATGAAAGGGTAGACGTCTTGGCTAGACAAGCTATTACTGAGGGAATCGAATATAATGTACTCCCTTATTATACAGATTGCATTTGGTTAATCAAAACACAATGCTACAAATTATGGAAGGAATATTTTGATTTACGCTCTAAAGAAAAAGGTATCTGGTATAAAACGGTTCAGCCACATCCTCTCAGAATTCCATGGATTGATAGTCACATATCACCAAGAAAGGACGCAGTAGTGATTATGAGGCTACGTTCTGGACACATTCCATGCAAGAATTTTGCTTTTCTTATGAATAAAGTCCCGTCACCGAACTGTGAACAATGCGGTGTCCCCGAGGACTTAATGCATGTCTTGATGGAGTGTGCCCGCAATGCTGCCTTTCGAATAGCTAAGTGTAAAAATATTTTAAAGGAATTTGCTGATTGTAACATTATTTTATCCAATCCTCATTCCGATGAAACAAAATTATTGACTAAATTATATAACATAATATTTTCCTCAGATCACTCAATTAGATAGTACTTGTTTTCATTTTCATTTTTGTTTGCTTGCTAAATGGAATGTTATTTAGTTCTAAATGATGTCAAATAGAGCGACATAATCGCATTTTGATTAAGCTCTTAAATAAAGATTTAAAAAAAAGAAAAAACTATAACCTTAACCTTAATAACTAAGTTCTTAAACTAATGTAAGTATACCTAAGTAATTTAGAGTCAGCACCAAACAAGCAAATTAATTAATTACTTAATTAACACAGTGCATTGTTAATTTAATTTGGTTATTTCTTTAAATTTAAGGTAATTTAGTGATCTTTGTTCATTGATTGCTTGGCGCCAACTCAAAATTACTTGACATGCACGTAGTCGATGGATGCAGGTGGCTCAGGACCGTGCTTTGTGGCATACCTTGGGGGAGGCTTATGTTCGGCAGTGGACTTGTGAAGGGTTGTAATGATGATGATGATGATACCACATTTATATTTTGTATTAAGTTATCATTCATCTCCGCTAGGGTTGATAATGTTTTGTGATTTTTACCAACTAAATTGGATAACAGAAAAACACGATTTAAAATAAATCGCGAAATATAAAAAAACACAGTGCGTGACAAAATAAACAAGTAAAATGTCTATGTTGTAATCAATGCGAACACAGCTAAAAACAAATCTTGATTACTGTTGAAAATTTTACACAGTTTTTGTGAGTGCGAACGCCACCATCAACAAAACATGTTGTGTGATTTATTTTATGCTTTTTGTTTCAAAACATTACATGTTGGATGTTTCTCAGTGCAAACGTACTGTTAGGTACACTCACATTAGTTTAAGAACCTAGTTTTTAAGGTAAAAGAAAAAGGTTTTAATTTTTTTTTGCTTTTCAGTTTTTCGGCGGTTTAATTTTTTATTTAAAAAGATTTATTTAATAAT